GCAAAGCAAAAATCAGAAAAGACGGTGTTGGGTGCATGAAATTATCCTAATAAAATGATATTTACCTACCTACTTGTCATACTGAGTTCTTGAGCTAGCTGATTCTATGCTTAAAACTGTTTAAAAACATGTTTACTAATGTTCGTATGAATTATCAAACAAAAATCTATATTTACATACATTTTCTATAAAAACTTCGGTTTGTCCACCCAATTTCTTTGAAAGCGACAAGGCGGTCATATTAAAATCTGTAATTTTGTACAAGCAGACCGTTGCGACTAGCGGGCGGTGTTCTGTTGCACCACGGTGTAATATAACTAGACCTAGCGATTGCCTTAGGCTGAGATCGCTCCCCGCCGCGACAGACCGCTTTCTGTGTATCCAAACCTTAAACCTGCATGTACACATTCAACGAAGAACACTCGAACAAGAATCAAGATGTCACCGTACAACATATTTGCCATAATCGCCTTCGTCGAAACTGTAGTTTAACCAGCCATAACTAGGAACGCCGCTACCACAAAAGGCTACGTAACCTCCATCGCCATCTTATCTTCGTCAATCGCTTTGGTTTGTTTATTTGCGCGTTCTTCTCAAAAGACCGAATTCGAAACAACAACAATACATGTATCGTATCGAACGCCAAGTTAAAATTTAAAATCAATTTATTTTGTATTTTTAATCAATAAACACGTTAAAGGATTCGTGCCAATATTCCTTCATTTCGCGTATACAATAGCGTAGTCTATTCCCGGTTTTACGCAGCGCTCGTGAAGCGGTTCACCTGGTGAACGCACCCATTATCGCTCGTGCGGATTTTACTTTTCCTTTTCCTATCTCCGGAGTGAAAAGTGTTGTTATGGAAACAACTAAATTGTCCCTACAAGTAGACACAGACCTACAGTTTTTCCTCAAGGTTTGAACTGCGCACTCCCTGGCCCCTGACACTTTCCTCACTGTGTGTGCTGTAAACCTTGAGCTTGAGACTGCCGGTGCACTGTACAGTCCACAAATTCAATTCAATACTTCTTATTAGAATTTAGAAAATTAACGGCATGTATAAATCAATACAATTTTTACCGTTTAAAACGAAAAAATGTTTTTTATTGTCCGCACATGAAAAAGTAAACTGTAAACTAACTGAGTTCCGCGCCCGCGCGGTGCGGCGGGTGCTTGTGGATCTGCATTAAACTGTCCTTGTTTATTATGTTTACATCAGTTTTTAGTGCACTCTTTCACTTTCAAGAAATAAAAAGTGCATTTTTGCGCTCTTGATGTCTGTCTGTCTGTCTGTCTCTGTCTGAGTCACAACATCTCCGGAATTACACCACTTACAGACTTGGTATTGGTGTCATTCGATCAGAAATTAAAAATTATTTCATGGTTGTATTCTCGTTAAAGCATGAAATGTCCATAAAGGCTATTAAAATCGAAAAAACAAATTTGAAAGTGCACTTTTTGCCTCTTGCTCACAAGCGGCTTAACGAATTTTTGTTCCTTCTATCAGTACTTATTTCCCTGTCTAAATAGTAAGGTATGAGTAATATTCAAGGATTCAGGTTTGCCCAGAAAAAGAGATATAGACGTATCTGTCATGTATAATACCACCCGCACGTTAGTAAGGCAAGTATTGCATTGGGGTAAAAAATGACCCCCCCCCCTCTCACTTTTTTAGCGGAAATACACGTTTTGAAGTTTCAGGAATCCGAATCAAACGAAATCTCGATGTCGGTCGGTCTATCCGTCTGTCTGTACTCTGATATCCAGCTAAACGGCTGAACTGATTATAACCAAATTTGGTACACATATTGTTAGACACATAAAGAAGAGCTGAAAAGCTTTTGGGAAAAATTGCACATGCGCAGATGTGCGGGTTGTATCTATGCTAGCAACACCCAATTTGTAATGTAACTAATGTAATTAGTTAATAATTATTGTATTATATAGCCAAGAGCCTAAGGAGGAATTATTGTTGAATATTTCAGGTCTTCGCAGCTTCTGTCAGTAGCCAAATCTTAATGTCGCTGTAAACCTCTCATGGGAGAAATTGCTTGCCGCATTAATTGGTCTTTTTCCTTAATGAAGGTGATCAATGATAATAAGTTTAAGTAGCTCTGCTCGTCCATTCTCAAATAGTTGTGGCAATCCAAGGAACAACCTTTAATTCAAAAAGGAGATTTACACGGGAATATTTGCTTCTCTTCTCTAACCATTTCTTTATCCAGGCAATTTTCTTAATAAGCTTTTTTCACGAGTTTCAGTGAACTTTTTCACTATAAGCCAACCAATAACCGCCAAAGTACCATCGTCGGTAAATGATGCCATTACGCTACAGGGTGTTCTTTTTTGGAGCGTTAGTTAAACGTTTTTGGGAAAGGGAAATAAGTAGGTTTTTGAAAATTTGTACATACGAGTTACTCTGAAAGCCGAATCGATGCAAAATATTTTCAAGATGGTCGTACTTTCGGAAATACCGGAAGTAGCTAGTCACCCATTGAAAAACTTATGTTAACCTATAACAGTTGCCGGATTAGTGTCACTAGATTTGTGTAAAATTCGATTGTTATTTAAGAAACTTCAAAGACTAAAAACTCAGTTTTTTTTAATGGAATTACTATTCCATAATATGATAGAGAATCGAAATTGGCATATTTTGATATTCCTATAGCTATCTTTAACATTTTCTGACTGATTCCCATTTCATTGAATTTATACCATTTTTTTCGGATTTTCTTTTTAGTAGTCGGCCATGATTTTATAACAATCGAATTTTAAACAAATCTAGTGACACTATAATCCGTCATCTGTTATAGGTTATAGTCGGCCATGATTTTATAACAATCGAATTTTAAACAATTATAATTACTGCTCCTCTATATATAAAATAATCTACTATTCATCTGAAAACTAGACTTTTTCTGTCTCGGAACCTATTTCCTCTAAGTATTTTATTCTTTATTGTATGTGTTCGTTATTTTTGATCTTTTTTTAACTAATAGGTATGTAATATCATTTTGCTCAACATTTCCAAAAATGTCCCTTGCCAACGCAATGCTTTCGAGACTTCTGCCAGTGTTCGTCGGTTCAGTCATAACAACAGTCATCAGACATTAATGTGTTTAGTTTTGATGTGTTATATGATTATTAAAAATGGCTTATCTGTCCACTGAAGATAAAATTGAAGTCCCCAAGTAAAAAAAAAATTAGGCGCTAAAGGATTGTAAAAAAATCGAAATAAAAATGTTTCAACAGAACATGAGCACAGTTAGTTACTTCTTAAAACATTTGAGGGATGGTTCTATTACAATGAAATCAGGGCGGGGAAGAACGAATATGGTAAGTCATATGAAAATATTGTTACGGTAGACGGTAAGGGAGATTCTTGATAAAACATTGGGCAAAACGATTTTTGTCAAAAACTATTTGTAGATTAGGGAGGTGCAGAAGCAGACAAGTTATTGAAAAAATCTAGTTTTCAGATGAAAAGGGTTTTTCACTGTGTTCAAATGAACGTCAAAACAATAGGGTAATTTTAGTTAAAAAAGGAGTCATCATTTGCCTCAGTGGTGATTTCACTAGCAGTAGGTAGGTACCAATGCAAAAATTTATGTTGTAGACGCATGCTTTTTGATATTGAACATATCTGTTAATTACGACTTATCCTTTCAACAAGATGGCGTGCCATCCCATACTCCCAGAAGTAGGTACAATAACGTACTTGCAAGAAGTAGCAGTTCGACTAACAAGTTGTCAATTGCTGTAGTAAATAACCACGGGGGGCACGTTCATAATGAATTTAATTGATTAATTTTAAGTATTTTTAATTAAATAAAAAAGAAATTATCATGATAATTAAAAAATGAATTTAATAAAAATGATATACGCATATGCGCTTTTTGAGAGTGATTGTCATTTGTCTTCAAACGCTAAAAAATGTTTAAGGGTAGTATTTCCGGATACGTATTAATAGTTTTACTAATGTTTTAATTTAATTATTGACAGGGTTGAAACGACCTCTTAGCTTTATAAAAACAGGCCTTATTCTCAGAACCATTTTAAGTTTTTCCGTTCGTTTTTATAAATTTTGACATAAATATGCTTAGGTAATTTTAGTAATGGTGGTTGTGCTAATATTATAAACCATACGGTACGCAACGGCATAAACGGCGAAATAGTTGAGGGTAACTAAATTTTCGCCCTTTCTGATCATTTTGCAAGATTTAGATTGCTATATTTTCTAGAGAGCGGAAAGCATTTTCAAAAGCAACATAAATAAACTAAAGCAAATAGATATTATGAGTCAAAGCTCCTATCAAGACAACCCTTGTTGAAATTTATTGCAATTAATTTGGGGCTACTGAATGCATTCAACAAAAAGGAAAATAAAGCAACAGGACTAATTTCTTGGAGCCTTCATATAAAAAAAGATACCTACTGAGGTTTGTAGGAAATGTATTATTTTCAGATTCAGATACGATTCGCAAACAGTCCACGACAAATTTTAAAGGAAATCATAAAACTTCGTCCGTCGGGGAGAACACCGTCGTTCATTTAAACGAATTATCAGCACCAAACAGCCTTCAAGCCTAAATAGATTTTGATATTGCGTTACAGCTTTTCGAATTAGATATATTTGTGCGAAACCACGTCGCATTTCAAATAGATTTAAGGCAGCCGTACATCGGCCTAAAACCGTTACAGTTAATCTGCTTGTGAACGTCTGAATTACACCCGATAAGTGCGTATTAATTAATTGACGAATGGAATGAGAATTGCAAACGTAAGATTAACAACACTCGAAAAGCCGGGAAATGTTGCGGAAAATATAAGATTGAGATAAGAAGACATCTGAGAAGATAAGCACCAGAGGCTGTTGCTAATCGCCTGATCCGTTTAAATCCTTCGGTAACAGACAACATTTTTAGCATCCACGAGGAAATTTTCTAATTTATCAAACGGGTGTCGGGGCTACTAAATTAAAGATAAAAAAGTATATCTACCTTGATAACATAGCACTATCTGGACTAGAATTAATAGCGGAATCTAAAATATTTCCAGTTGGTGAAGTAGGATATCCGTTCTTCTTATTCGATGGCTCATTTCTACTTAAGATACTAGAAATTGAAAAGTTCGTCGACGATCCTGAAGTTTTCTGTGTAGTGGTCGCCTTAGAGACGTCTTTAGTGTTCGCACTTTCATCTTCGTTAGTTTTGATCACCGGAAAACATGTTTTATTAGGGGTGGACATGCGATTTATAATGCGGTAACTTTCGGGTTCCGGAGATGCGTTGCGGCTCGAACATTCCGGACTCGACACGACGTTTACTTCAATTTCACGTAAGTCGGATTCTGAAGACATTATTTGCGAATTTAGCAAAGCATTATCCGTCGATGATTTAAAATCACTGCGAAGAACACTGCACGGTTATAAGTTTAGGTAGTTTAATGACGTCGATAAGTGTTTTTCAATAAGCGGTGAACGTAATAAGAAAACCGACAATATGATTGTTCTGAAAACTGCGGTTAGTACGATGACCAAATACTATAGTGGAACATGTTTACACCAAACTTCATAACGAGGGCGGCAAAATTCGGGACACTCCCCGTTGTGACAGAAACACCCCTGTTGTTGCTCTTTCTCATGCAGACCATTAGTTTTCCCCATAAGGTTTTCTCACTTACACCTTTGGATTTTCCACTAACGGTTATCTTTTCGTTTTATACGTTACACGCTTTTCAAGCTGCAATTTTGTAGTGCGCGTTCTCTTTCCTATTTAGTTGTAATTTCTTTGTCGTCCTGGATGTCATCACCTTCTAAATTTACTTTTTCTTTGCACACCCTGCACAAATGACTCTATTTAGTAACACTTAGGCATGCTTTATACTTATGCACCATAAATGTGATTAGTGCCGGATTAAACTTAATTAGCCCTGCATGGAACTGGTACACTTTTGAAAATGAGACGGTAACAGTTCAATTATTTACATATAATAAACTCTAAAAGGGTAAAATCCTTTACTCGGCATTTCATTTTCCGGTATTTTCCCCCACTGTAGGGGTATAGCCAATGAGCGGCTTCATAAACTACCCCTAACAAATCTGAAATGCCACCCTCCAATCGTGGCTGAGGTTTTCAAGTCGATATTTGGTACTTGATGTCTGTAAATTTGACGTCTTTGTGAAGTGGAATGATCAGTATAGTGAGCGATAAATCGCTATAGCTAAGGGTTGTTTACATATTATGATGCCTTTCCTTCTCATCCGGTGATGATATCGTTTATGATTTACTGCCTCGTCGGAGTATTTTTTTTATAATGTACAGTTGCTCTGAAATTTATTACGTAGGTAGGTAGTTTTTTAAGGTCTCGTCAATTGTATACGATCGAATTAAAGGAAGTTTAGTTATAAACGAGTTGCTGTTTATAAAGAATTTCCGTTATAACTTCACATGCTAAATAAATTGCTTACATACGGCAACCCAAATTGGATTTTTTAAATAAAACTAACAACGTAACGACCACCCTTTAATAAATTCAAATTAGAAAGCCATAATAAACTCGTCGTGCGGTAAATCCGTTTGGTGTACTATTTAAATATTTTATTTATCATTCCTTCAATTAATAAAGCTGATTATTATCGCGGCTGGGTTGCTAAACTTCAGATTAACGCGTTCATTAAGTTATAGATTATACACGAATTCTGAATAAACTTAGATTTCAATCTAAATCGCATCCAATTAATTTCTAGGTATTTGAGTAGCTAGTATATTGCAATAATAAACAATGGCTCGAACCAGAGCCTACTATAACTATAAGTATGGCTCTGCTCGAACACATTTATTTGCTTCCTAGCTTGAGATAGGTGACTATTGCAATTATCGTTTTTTGGACATGTCAAAATTTCATGAAATGTCGATATTTTGCATTATTGTAAGCAACATTCAAGGAATAACATTTAGTTTCAGTCTGTATGCATGTACGTACATACATACTACGTACTTAAGTATCTTGGGTACGTGTAACAAAAGTGATCACCGGATAGGTAAATCTTGCAGCATACGCAACCAACATTTGAATGTATTGGCAACTTGGAAATGCGAATCAACAAAACAAGGTATCTCCTCCTAGAAGAAACCGGTGGAGCCCGACGTGATACCTTTTATTACTTCTGTCAATGACTGTACGTTGACAATTTTCCAAGATAACGGTTCGGTTTAAATTTTGGATATGTATATTAGGCTTACGGAACGAACAAATAGCAACGCATAAATTCTTATTAAATTTTTAGACATTATTTTCATGTGTACAACCTATAAGAATTGTGCCAGGTTTTATTACAAAAAAAAACCGTTAAAATTTTGGCAGTGTATATTAGACATAAAACTTTCAAAAACGTTTTTTTTAAATAAATGGTTTGAGTTATAGGAAGCTGTCAATAATTTGGCACCGTTTTCTTCTTCTATTTAACGCGTACTTTAATTTTGTTGTCGATATTACAGAAGATACATACAGTTACTCTAGGTCATAATTAAACAAAAACAAGGCGATGAATAGACCACATGCTTAAACATGTAAGAATAACGTAGGTATACCATGTAAGCTCGCAATAGCACACGTAATAAGTACTAGTTTGGTCCATATAAATGGTGTCACCAACCAAGCTTCATAGCTTCCTATAAAATGGACGAGTAACATAATTAAAAGTTAGCACGTTACTGGAACCTTCAATCAGAAACGTCAATTTTAAGCAAATGTGCAATTTCAGCCTCTGTGTTTCTTGAGATAATTTTTAAAACATACCTTCCTAAATGACACGAACACACCATAATAAAATGAAAGAGCACGTACAATAATATTGTGGTTAAGCTTGTAACAATAAATGAAACCCGAAGTTGTAAGTCATATCCCAAATAACACAAGTACGTACATTGCAAATACATAGCACGTACAGCGATGGATTTACGGATGTACATTTCACGTACATGGTACGTTATTTGCACTACTTTGTACAGGCAAAGTACGTACTTATTCGTACGTACATTAGACGTCATACGTACGTATGATGGAACAAAAATGTATGTACAGTGGACAATGCGTGCTATATGAGATATAAGGATTAAGTCTGTTTATCTAATAGAAAGGTATATGGCACATACTAGCATATTGCAACACCTAGTTTTATCGGCTAGCAGCATGTACTTACTTGCTTTTCTATTTTTTCATTGTGATAGTCTTGTAGTTCTTGCTATTCCTCGTTATAAATATCAATTGGGTATAACAAAACAAACAAGGAATTTCAAATTGCCTATTTATTTCACTATCCTATAATATTTGTAACTTTGGTAAGTCAGGATTTTTTTAAATTTCCGAATTTATTACTGATAATGCATACTTACCTTTACACAGTATTTTTGTTGTAATTATAATTTGATTACTATTGAATTTCAAAGAGAGGTCACGACTGATGGTATCAAGACATTCTCCCATTAAAAATAATAGAATCGCACAGGTTATTAATTTACAGCAATTAGGTGTCTCCAATTTATCCGGTGCTTTTATTTACTAATGAGAACAATATAAAATTTATTATTCCTCTAATATGCCTTATGAATACAATGGTATAACTTATCTTACACCCCAAACGTCATAGACGAGTGCATAAATGATTGTAGGCTATATATACATCAGGGTTCAGTGGAAGAACAATCTCTGGAGATTGAACTGCGCCCTCAGGTTATCTTATAGCAAGTAAGATAATAAAGGCCATTATTATTATTATTATATTCCCATTCTACCGGATGATCCAAAATGGCTGCGAACAGTTTGAATTTCCCGAAAACTATACATTTATAAAGTTGGTAACATATCAAATGTCATTTATTTAAAATCAATGGTGGATCAATTTGATGGATCAACAATAATCACAATTAATTAATTACAAATAACAATTTAGAGATGTTTAAGGATGCGCTGATTAATGAGAGAAAGAAATAAGTATAAATTGTGCACAACTCTTGTGCAGATAAAGCGCATTTTTTTAAAGCGAAATAGCTTTTGTTTTGACATCACCAATGGATATATTTCTTGCAGACGTCTCAATAGCCCTTTGTGAGTACCCTCTTCCGACAATACGTTCTTGGGGTATAAGGGAATATACCCGATCACGATAAGAGGTCGAGGAGGAGGGCTATGGTTGGTTTTCCTTTCGTTGAGACACCTTTCATTAGAGTACCATGAAGGATAAAACTAGCCCCCCCCCCCGCTTCGTTTTTTGATAAGAGAACAGAAATAAGAAATATTAAACGACGACGGCATGAGGAAGGCACATGAAGAACATTAATGAAAAGGCTATTAATAAGAAGGGGAACGAACCAGGATTGACCTAACGAAGATGCAGAAGAAAACAGGGGAAAGGAGTAGAACGGAGGAAGTAGTAGAAGTTACATGATGGGATTGATTTCATTCTGCTAAAGGCACACCTAGCACATCTTATCGGGCAAAAATTTCGAGAGGAGTTGTCAGGTTTTGTGCCAGTTTGAGCCGTAAGCCAAATGTCTTTACAGTTGCACGTCTAGCTATCACAAGATAAATTAAGGTTTAAAGTAGAATTGAAGGCCAGTCTTGTACCTATTGAGTTTAATAGACGACATCGTTCAAGCGTTAAAATTGTGCCCACAGTTTGTTTGAGCAGAGGAATTTAAACTAAGTATGTAAAAAATCTCCAATTTTAAATGCTTTTCTGTCAAATTTTTTTCGGCAGGAACCAGCACTAACTATTAGTAACCACATCTCCCAGACACCAAAAAATAAGCAATTCCAAAACTGTTTCTAGCAGTTAGACCTTTACGACAAAAATCGGAACAAATGTGGCATTAAACCATGGCACATAATCCCGAATATTATGCACTATTAAAAATGTTTTTGCTTTCACACTATTACGGCACAAAAGCACATAAACGCCGCAGAAATCCATACGTATTATGTAACGAACACCTGTTTCCTGCCTACCAGCTTTGATGAGCACCCGGTACATGAACGCACGGCATCGAAACGTGGTATAAATTTGGGGCACTAAGTTACTAAGAAACCGTAGCTTCTAGATTTATATATTTCTTCTAGGAGAAATAGAAGGTAAAAGTAATGTTTTCAACTTTTAGAGCCGTTTAACCGCTGATAAGAGAAACAGCTGCTGTTTCTAATTGTTCCCGTAGAGATATGTTTTATTTTAGCATCCGACAGTCCACGTCATGAGAAAGCAGTTAGCTTCATTCATTAAGTGTCCCAATGTTAAGCGGAAACGAGCATAAAAGTTGCAAGGCCGTGCCAGTGGCGGAACAACGTAGCCACGGGCCTGTGTGCGAAATTTTTTGCTGGGCCCCCATTATGATACGACGTATTGATAACAATATTAATTTAGGTATGAATTTTGGCTAAAAAAAAACCAATTGATAAGTATTTATGTTCCTAACATAGAAAAATATGAGGAAAAATATGTGGTAACCAGCCAGAGCGCGGATTCAGCGTTTACGCTTATCATTTCCCCACGATTTAGAAAATTGAATCTTACTTTCTCAGTTAACTTTTACTATTCAGAAAGTCATTCGTTCGGTTATAGCATTGAATAAAAATAGTGTTTTTATTCAATGGTTATAGTGTTTTCTCATGACTCATGGCAATTTATAGCTAACTTTTTTGTACCCTTGAAGTTATGCTGCGTATTTTAGTACAAAAAAAATTAAATTCAGTACATTTTCATTGACATTTCATTTTCAGTACAATTTAAACAAGTATAAATTGTGCACAGGTCTTGTGCAGATAAAGCCATTTTTTTAACCGAAATAGCTTTTGTTTTGACATCACCAATAGATATATTTCTTG